AGTTCCCTGCCCGTGGGGGTGGAGGGAGCGGGCAGGCGCTGTCGCATGAAGGACGCAGCCCTGCCCCGTTATCACCAGCTTGCAAAAACACCCGCGGAGGAGGGTGGAAAATGGTCCAAGGGATTACAAAACACCTGCGGTGCTGGAGATTCCCTGCGGGGCTTCCCTCTGGCTGGGCCGGCTCTCCCTAACCCTTCTCACTCTCTGGCCATGTCCCAGCACAGATGGTGATGTGGGGCTTGCTGTGCCCCACGCTCCATCCGAGCTATTCCTCCTGCTCCCCAAAATCCAGGCTGGGCTCAGCAGGCACTGGATTTTCTTCTCTTTCACTTAGATGCTGCTTTTTCATCCCCTTGAAGTTTTGCTGGGGGCTTTGCAAGCATTTCCCTGAAAATACCAAAGGCAGAGCCGAAGGCGGAGGCGCTTGGATGTGTTTTTCTGAGCCACGGGGTTTAGCAAGAGCAGCCTTTTTACTTGAAAACACCCTGCGTTCCCCGTGATCGCAGCATCGGGGAGGGAAGCTGCGGATGGCCCTCGTGGGCGGACGGCTGCTAGCACGGCCCCGGGGGCGAAGGCTGGGTGCTGGAGCGGGGAACGCTCTGGCATTACTCACCCTGCGTTTGAAGAAGGGGAAGAACCAGGATGGATGCTCCAACCTGACCGGCGATGCCCTGCTCCGAGCTCGCCCCTGCGCCCTCCGCTTTTGCAAGAGGAAGGGACTTGGGGGCAGGTCAGCCGAGGTGGATGGCTGAGGGTCTCGCGGGGCGGTGGGTGCTGTAGGCATTCACCCGCGTGGCCAGGAGCCCGTGGGACCTGCATGGGTCTTGCTTCGTGCCAAGCAGCAGTTGGCTTGCTTACCTTGGCTGTGGGAGATCACACCTTGTTCCCGAGTGTGGCTTTGGGATGGTTTTCTCTGTGTGTAGGAAGGATTCAGGAGCAAGGGCGTCATGACCTGAGCTTCAGCTGCAGAGGATAGAAAAGAGGTTAAATTTCCCCATTTAGCCCAGTTGTCATCTCGGCAGGCAGCAATTTGGAAATGCAGTGCATGGGAGCAGACATGAATAAGGGCTGGGGAGGTTGCTCAGGAGGAAAAGCCTCATTTCTTGTTGGTTAAAACCTGTGAGGAATAGGTCAGACCTCCTGGGGACCTCCTCCCCAGGGCTGCGGGCGAGCATCCCTCGGTGCCTCGGTTTCCTCGATCCGGAGCAGGGACCTCAGACGGGACCCCCGGAGGTAGAAATGGGGAAGATGCTCTCTGGGACTGGCCAGCCGGCCCCTCGCCGCAGGAAGCGCGCCTCGAGCGTGCAGCTGTGGTTTCGAGCTGGCAAATGGTGCTTTTCGGGGCTAGATGGGTAAAGAAGGAAGGAAGGGACCAAGAGCAGCAGCAGGATGATGGGTAAGGTTAGAAAAGGAAGTAAGCCAGCACAGAGAAGACAGTGTGGATGTGAGAGAGGGCGCAGATGGGCATTCGGGTGACGGACCTGTCCCCCCCTGCCCCAAGGTCCCCCCGTGGTGCTGGCACACCGCGGCCAGGCTGCCTTTCCCCCCCCCGGTGCCGTCCCAGATGGGACGGGTGCTCCGGGCGCCGGGAGAGAGGAGGAGGGCAGCGGGTTAGTGGTCAGCGCTGGAGGAAACGGACTGTAACCACTTCTTGCTCTGGCTTTAAAAGGAAACGCCTGGCGGCAGCAGCAGGGTGCTTCCCCCCGCCTCCCCCCCGCTCCTTCCCTCCTTCGCTGGGGGGTGGGAGCCAGCTCCGAGGCTGGGCAGTGGGTCCTGAGCCTCGGTGGGTGCTGAGCCTCGGTGGCCAGGATGGTCTCCCCATGGAGCTTCATCCCTCCCGATGGTTTGCATGGGAGGGATGTTCCCCCCATGAGCAGCTGGCATGGATGCTTGCCCCGAATCCTGTCCCGAATCCTGTCCCGAATCCTGTGCATGGATGCTTGCCCCGAATTCTGTCCCGAATCCTGTCCCGAATCCTGTCCCAAATCCTTTGGGACTCACTTCCCAGGGGTTATTTTCTAGCAAGGAAATCAGGCTTGGCTCTCGGGGTCCACCCCAAACAAAAGGTCCTCCTGCTTGCAGGCGGTGAGTGTGCCGCAGCCGTGGTGAGTCCCGCTGTCTGAGAGAGTGGATTTGGGAAATCCAGACATTCCCGATGGAAATCCCCCTCTGCCTGAACTGACTTTGCCCGGCTGCAGGAGGTGGGGATGCCACCAGGGTCAGTCTCAGACTTTATCCCCTTGCGGTTCATGGTCCCCGCGCCTGCGGCAGCCCCGGCAGGACAGGGCTGAGCTGCCCGTCCCGCTGTCCCGGCACCCTTGCTGTGAGCTCGGTGGGTGCTGCCGCGGCACCCCGGGAAGCTGGAGCCATTGCGGGGGCATCTCGCCCTGGGGGTGCCGAGGCTGGGCAGCTCATGGGGTCTCTGGTTCCCCCGGCTGCACCCCATGCCTGCCCCAGTGCTACCCCGTGCCGGGGCTCCGATGCTGGGTCCCTCTCTGGACCCTTTGCACCTGCAGGCTTCGCATTTCCGCCTC